TTATTATTATTATTATTATTATTATTATTAAAATGACTGCAATGCATTTAACAATACTAGTAATAATATTAACAATAATACTAATTATTTTAATACTACTACTAATTATTACTAAAATAATGCATATAGTAAATAATGAAAACAATATCAGCAATGCATTTAACAATATTACAAATAGTAATACTTATAATAGCAATAATATCAGTAGTAATATTAATACTACTACTACTAATTATTATTAATAATTATATTAACATGCCCATAATGCATTTAATACTAAGAGGGAGATAATCTACAATGCATTTAACAGTATTACTAATTATTATTACTTCTTATAATATTATTAATATTAATTAAGCATAATAATAATACAATTATCTCTATTAATACTACCACTAGCAGTACCACTGTTAATACTAATACTATTTATTATTATTATTATTAAACAAAAAACAACAACAATAATATAATAATCTGTTGTCACCACAAATTTATTTATTTTCATTTTGGATTATTTATAATTTGCAATTTTTTATTTATTAGTCTTTGCAACTTTACAGATCTTCTTTATGCACCAAGAACTTGTAACACTCCAAAGAGAAAGGAAAAATATAAAATCGCTTCATATGACCCCTTTAAGTATGATGAGCGATAATAATAGCAATAGCACCCCCCCCACACAAAAATATTTTTTTTACAAAAAAAACAAAAACAAAACCTTGGTTTTGTAAGTCATACACATAGATTTGTTATCAGTGACATCCACACATCCACAGAGCTCTTACCTGCAGCGATGTGTCAAAGACCACGAGCTTGGAGCTGGTAGGGACGATGTCATAGCACTTATGTGACTTCATAAACCGCATGTAAATGTCGCTCTCAGATTGTTCAACAGCTGTAAAGACAGCAATAAACGAAAACACAGTCAATATGAAAGCAAAGTGAGACATAAGTACAAGTCAATAAGTTGTTAAGCACAGACCGCACACTGCTAGAAGGCTGAGGAACTGATGCATTCATAATGAAAGTGTTTTATTATTTAAATGAATTAATAAACATTAAGCTGAACAAGCTTCGAATAACAATATTCCTGATCAGCGTACAAATAAAAAAAGAAGGCTGAAAATAACTGCTGTGATAAAATACATTAATTCCCTTATACATTTAAAAAAATTTTTGCATAAACTACAGTTACTATCAAGTTCAACTGACAGTTGTCTCATCACAGAGTTTTCATACTTTTTGATGTCAAGGGCCCCACTAAGATGATCCACTTATGAGGGACGCCTTTCAAAAAAAAAAAAAAAAAAAAAAAAAGAAAAAGAAAAGAAAACATTAACTAACTTTGCGGAATGAGTAGTTTGTGAGTCATGGTAAACATGTCTGACATAGACTTGTTATCAGTGACATAAACATCCACAGAGCGCTTACCTGCAGTGTTGTGTCAAAGACCACGAGCTTGGAGCTGGTAGGGACGATGTCATAGCACTTATGTGACTTCATAAACCGCATGTAAATGTCGCTCTCAGATTGTTCAACAGCTGTAAAGACAGCAATAAACGAAAACACAGTCAATATGAAAGCAAAGTGAGACATAAGTACAAGTCAATAAGTTGTTAAGCACAGACCGCACACTGCTAGAAGGCTGAGGAACTGATGCATTCATAATGAAAGTGTTTTATTATTTAAATGAATTAATAAACATTAAGCTGAACAAGCTTCGAATAACAATATTCCTGATCAGCGTACAAATAAAAAAAGAAGGCTGAAAATAACTGCTGTGATAAAATACATTAATTCCCTTATACATTTAAAAATTTTTTTGCATAAACTACAGTTACTATCAAGTTCAACTGACAGTTGTCTCATCACAGAGTTTTCATACTTTTTGATGTCAAGGGCCCCACTAAGATGATCCACTTATGAGGGACGCCTTTCCTAAAATATAATAGCAGCTATATAATTTAATGTGTAAAATGTGTAAAGATTTATACTGCGTGAAGACAATATTAAGTGTAATATTATAAAAAAGTACATTAAATATAATAATAATGTAATAATAATAATGTATAATAATGTAATAACAGTGAAGTATTCTTCTTATTATTAATATTAATATGATAATACATTTAGTCAGATTTTAACATGTACATGAAATATTATTACAGAATGATAATTGATTATTCTTATTAACGTGTATGTTACCTTTATAATATGATACTTAATACATTTATAGTCTAAATATTAAGACTATTTTTATATTAAGCACATTATATTTACATTATTGTACTTATATTAAGTATTAAAAATAATATAATTTATTAGTTATTATTATCAATATGATTATGATTGTATGATAGCATGAGTCATGTTAAAAAGATAACATGTACTATATGTTAATAACAATAATAATAATAATATCATTATTTTATGTATATTATCTAATAATATGATACTTATATTTAATCAACTTATATAATGGAAGGAAAATATTAAGTGAAACATAAATATAATAGAAATATTATAAATGAATAATAAATAAATATAAAAATTAATATAGATAGAAATGAAGAAAATATAAGATTACATACCTTAATAATAATAATAATAGAAAATGTAAAGTAATAAAGTATTATTATTATTATTTATCAGGGCTTTTACATTGTGTACTAAAACCAAAGTAAATTATTCAAATACTATCAGGAAAATCCCTAGCAAACAAGAAAAAATAAATAAATAAAAACCCACTGCAGTAGATCTGGCAGCATGACACAAATGGGTGACATTAACTCACTGAACTGTGGACTCTGATGTCTCTCTTGTTGTTCCTTTCAGCAGCATCCTGCCTAATGTCCCCAGTTGCCATGGTAATTCTTACAGTAGTATTCTTAGACACTGAACTGCTTCTTCAGAAGCTGCCTAGACTGAAAACACCACTGAAATCTTTTGTCGCAAGGCTGTAGGTGCAGTCTAGGAGGACTCCGGTGCATCTCCCCCCACAGTCTAGACACCTATCTGACTGTTTCAACAAACACTGATCAAAAGACCTAGTGGAGAAAGCAGGTCTTACTGACAGCAACATCCACTGCTTTGTGTTCATACACACTTGATTGACAGTTTCTACTCAGAATCTGTTTTGAACCACTAGTTTGACAAATGTAACATCTGACTCACAACCCTGTCCAACTACGGTGGATTTTCAGTAAGTAATTGACCTTAACATTTCTTTTACTATGCTAGGCCACAAAAAGCATTCAGTGCGATGAGGTTAATAAAAGCCTGGTGTTCAAAGTATTTCTCACCATTGCTTCAGCTCAGCGCCGTTTAACACTACTGGCTATTGTCAAAGAATAGTCCTGCAGTAGGTCTAGTATTAGCTCATGGAAATGATTAAAATAGGACAGTCCAGCTGCTGTTGCTCGAGGAAACTTTACTGAGGGGTTTCAAAAAAATAAACGCTGAAAAGCTTGCAGCTGAAACAATATGTACTTTGTGAGTTAGCATACTTTTAATAACTTTACAATGTAAAGTGTATGCAAAACAACTCTGCAAAGAGTGAAAACACTGTGGCTCTTTAAAATAACACAAAAGTCTTAGACCTAGCAACAGGCTCAACCAATGACATGAGTTTGGGGGCGGGACTATGCATACTATGTGACTCAGAGTGCTTAAAGGGTTAGTTCACCCAAAAATGGAAATTGGCTTGTGTTTTACTCACCCTCGAGGCATCCTAGGAGTATATGACTTTCTTCTTTCAGACGAATCCAGTCGGAGTTATATTAAAAATTGTCCTGGCTATTCCAAGCGTTATCATTGCAGTCAGTGGGTGTTGCAGTTGAACCGTCCACAAGTCGTCAAATAAAGCGCGCGCATTCATAATAAACGTGCCTCACACTGCTCTGGGGGGGTGAATAAAGGCCTCCTGTAGTGAATCCATGCGTTTTTGTAAGAAAAATATCCATATTTTAAACGTAATAAACACTTTTCTCTCACTTCTGGTATCTGTCATACGTGGAAGCCGTTCTGGCGGATGACGCAGCACATATGTGCTGCGCGCGCGCCTCTGAGATACGCTAGTCTCGCTAGTTTGTTCATAGGAGCAAAGGAAGCAAAGTTTTCTTACTTTAGCAAAGGAAAACCAGTCTCCTCTTGGTTTATATCGAAATCCTCTGACATTTCTCTTTACAATTCCTCGGTTTGTACTTCTAGTTTATGACTGATGTTTTGTTTTGTTCTCTCTCCGCGTTCGTCACTTATCATGCAACGCCGACGTCTTACGTCATCCGCCGGACAGAAACAGGTGAGAGAAAAGTGTTTATTACGTTTAAAATATTGATATTTTTCTGACAAAAACACATGGATTCGCTACAGGAGGCCTTTATTCACCCCCCGGAGCCGTGTGAGGCACGTTTTATTATGGATGTGCACACTTTATTTGATGACTTGTGGACTGTTCAACTGCAAAGGACTGAGTGCAATGATAGAGCTTGGAATAGCCAGGCCAATTTTTAATATAACTC